AAGTGCTTTTTTCCTTCTCTCCAGGGTAAAGGTTGGATAAATTAAAATTTTTAAAAAAAATTACATGTATCCTCTGTCTTCTAAACTTTGAGCTTGTAATATTCCTGAGAGAAAAATACTTGGTGGGCATCATTAAATATTAATCATTAGAGATCAGTTTAGCAAAGAGATTTAGTCAGGTTGGAACAGCTTTTAAGAAACCAATTACAATGTGGGTTATGAAAGAGAAGTGGAAGAAACCCAGGGAAAATATTAGAAAATGCAAGTCCCTTCACCCAGTGGAATTTTTGCAGGGAATTCTGGCTAACTAGCTTGTTGAGACTTAAGACAGCAATAAAAATAAGTCCTTGTGCTAAGAATTTAAGAATTGGTTAAAGGCAAAAGGTAGGATTCCTAAAATTGCACCGAATCTTCCTTTTTTAACCAGTATTCCATTTAAATATTTAAGTATTTGATTGAAAGATGGATAAGAATTCGAAAGAAACATTCATCTTAAGGTTACCTTGTAAAATTTAGTTCTTTGGAAATTCCACAAATTAAATATCAATATAAAATTGGGGAAAATGGAGGGTTGGTTGGTTGGTTGGTTTTTCCTAATTCTTGTATGTTGATTGTTCAAAGGGATTGTGAGGTATTTTTCTTTGGGGATATTCTTTTATTCATTTCATTAGTTATATTTCAGGGTAATAGGAAGGAGTCTGACAGTCTTTTGAAGACCTATAAAATGTTGCAACTTAAACCTGTATTAGAGTTGAGCTTCCTCATTTCTATACATGAAAAACAGGCATGAGTGGTTTGAAAAAGTCAACTGTTTTAAAGGGAAAGGATAACATTCCTAAATGGTATGTACCTATTAACAGAGTATCAAAATACATGAAGCAAAACTTGATAGAATCATAAGGAAAAAATAGACAAATCTGTAATTATAGTTGAAGATTTCAACATCCCTCTCTCAGTAATTGATGAAACAGTAGGCAGAAAATCAGTAAAGATACAGAAAGCTTGAGCAACACTATCAGCCAATAAGACCTAACTGACATTTATAGGATACTCCACCTAACAACAGCTGACTACATGTAATTTTCAAGTGCACATCTAACATTCTCCAAAATAGACTATATTCTGGGCAATAAAACAAATCTCAATAAATTTAAGATGATTGAAACTATGTGAAGTATGTCATCTAACCACAATGGAATGAAGCTAGAAATCAATAACAGATATCTGGAAGATTCCTAGATGGAAAATAAACAACATTTTTCTAAATAACCCATTGGGGCTTCAAAAGGAAAATTAGAAAATATTTTAAGTGCATAAAAATAAAAGTACAATTAATCAGAATTTGTGGGACTCAGTTAAGATAGTGCTTGGAGAGAAAATTATAACATTAAATGTGTATATTATGAAAGAAGAAAAGTTGATAATAGATAATCATAGCTTGAAACCGAAAAATGAATAACAGACCTAAATTAAGTAAAAGGAAGATAATAATAAAGATAAGAGCAGAAATCAATGAAATAGAAAGCAGGAAAATGGGGAAGGGAGATGGAAACAAAACTGGGTTTTTTGAAAAGATCAATAAGAGACTTGCAAAAAAGAAAAGAAAAGATCAATAAAATTTTTAAAAGCCTACCCACATTGATTAGGAAAAAGGAGAGAACATACAGATTGCCAATATTAAGAATGAAAGACGAATATTTCTAGAACTCTCATAGACACTAAAAGGATATTTAGGAAATGTTGTGAGTATCAGCATATTGGCAACAAATTTAACAATTTAGATGAAATGGATATTAAAAAGCACCCTTAAAATGTGTTACCTCCTAATTCTACTTCTAGAAATCTATGTTAATAAATTTAAAATGTTGACCAAGCTTTGCATACCAAGATGTTTATCAAATTATAATAGGAAAAAAATACTGAAATGCATTTCCAACAATGGCAGATTAGTCAAATACACTATGGTATAAATATACTGATGATGATGATGATGGTAGAATAAATTCCCATGTATAACCCTGCATGAAAAAGTAAGAAATAAAAATGTCAACAAATGGTAAACTCAATACAAAAAGATATTTGTAAAGAAGAATCAGAAAACATACCCTTAAATTAGGCTAATAGGCTACTTTTTAATTTATCACATTATTTTCTTCTCAGTTTCTTCTGTATTTTCCAGATTTGCTAAGAGTGAAATATGTCAGGGCCATATTTTAATTGTCATATGCCAATAAGGTGGTTTTGTCATTGAAAATATAAATTACTCTTTTTCTGTAAATAGAAAACATATAACTCGTGCCTTGATGCCAGTTGATTTTGTTTTGGAAATTTAAAACCATGCCTTTTGGGAAGGATGAATAGGATTTGAATGTCTTCCGGTACTTTATCCTTCCTCTGGTAGGCCCATTTTGAGTCTGTCTTTGCACTGTCTTTCATTCAGCAAGACGCTCGGACCTCCAGCTTCCCTCCTGTTCTCTCACTGTCTTTTCAATCCAGCTGTCAATGGGCAAAAAGTGTGTGTGTTTGCTTCCCTTATTTTTTCTTTTTCTTATTGGCCCATAATGATTGAAACATCTGTTAGTGGGGAGCCATTACTATGCTTTTCTCTTTCATGCTTCGTAGAAACCACACTTAAATGGAGATCTTTAGCACTGTGTGAAGACATAACTCTCTTTTGCATTTGTGCCACTTCCAACTCCATCCAGGCCTTAACTGTGATATGCTAGCTCTGTTGCCCCTGCCTCCAGCTGCCCCATGTCAGCTTATTTAAAGTAGCTATTGGAGTGCACTGGGGACACAATGTATATCCTTTTCTTTCCAGAGATCCTACAGTGAATGACCTCTAGTTTCTTATGAAATCCCCATAATTAGTAAAAACTGTAAATCATATGGTTAAAAATCTCAGGGCCTTCATCTTAAACGATCTTCATCTAAACGCTCTTTTGGTACATGAAGGCTAATGATCTTGAGTGATCTGAAGATTATGTCCATGCTTTTAGCTCAGAATAAATGGGCCTTTTACCATTATACATAAACTTGGTCTTTTTGGCCTTTCTTTTGCATTTGCATACATACTTATGTGACAAACAATTAAAATGTACTTGATACAGAGAATGACAATTAATTCAGCAAATGGTCCTGTGGCATGAGGCCCTGTTCTGTGGGGTGACGTTTGGAGGAATCCATGGGGATCCATGGGGGCCACCTAACTGCAGGTGTCTCATCAAGACTCTGGTAGCATTCTTGATCCCTCCTCTCCCTTGACCCCACAGCCATCCTCTAAAATTACAGTTTTCAAATTGGTTTTCCCACTTCAGCACTTGTGCTATTTCAGTCTCGTCTCCACATAAAGACCAGAGTATGTTTGAGAAATACAAATTTAAATCTCCTTAAAGTTTATGTGTTTTTTCCAAAGACTTATTCATTTGACAGAGAGGGCAGGAGAACACAAGCAGGGGGAGTGGGAGAGGGAGAAGCAGGCTCCCCACTGAGCAGGGAGCCTGATGCGGGACTTGATCCCAGGACCCTGGGATGATGACCTCAGCCAAAGGCAGACGCTTAACTGACTGAGCCACCCAGGGGCCCCTAAATCTCCTTAAAATTTAAATAGAAATCTTCTTTAAACCTTTGATTGCCTTCCAATGGTACTTAAGAAAAAAAAAAATCCCTAAATCCATATCTCACCCCTGGATCTCACTGTAACCACTTTCCCCAGTTTAGTGTGCCACAGCCAAGGGGCCTTCCTTCAGTTCTTCAGACACACCAGACTTTCTCACCTCAGCCACTCACACATTTCTGGAACATTGTTGCCCAGCCACCATCTCCTGTTCCCCCTTGCTCCCACCTTCTCATCCTCCCTCATAAGCTTCTGCCTGGCTGATTCGTACTCAGCATTCAAATATTGCTTTAAATATCATGTCCCTAAGGGGCCTTTTCTGGACCTCTTGTCTAAATTTAACTATTTCCTATTCTTCTTATAGCACTCATTATAATTTTTCATTGTATTTTGCATAATTTATTTGGTATCTTTCTCTTCTGTAGGCCTGAAAGTTTCATAACTGTATACCACAATGTTTTGTTTGCTCTTTGACCAGCACATACTTAATGCCCAATAAATTATTGTCACATGAATTGAAACAAAGAAAAAAATAAAGGGTAGTGTAAATAACTAGAACATATCTAAGAGAAAAAAACTGCAATTTCACTATTATAGGAAAATATATTAAAGCATTTGTTTTTAATGTAATAAGTTATTTGTAGTTAAAATTCCCATTTTCAACTAAGATTTGGGTACAAGAACACATTCATATAGTCCATAAGGATAGGGTCTTTTTCTGTGTTCATTTTTGTTTATGTATTAAATATTTGTTGAATGAGTAAGAGGATTGGTATAATCGTTATGGAATGCAGTGTAGCTAAGTGTATTTAAAAATATCAAATTGGGTTTTTTTGACCCAGAATTTCCACCTAAGAATTTGTCATAAGGAATAGTCCTAAATATAGAAAAGGTTATATATTTAAAGATATTTTCACAGTGTTATTTATAGGAGAAAAATATTGGAAACCACCTAAATGCCCAATAAAGTAGTAACTGAGGAAAGCATAGTTTATCCACTAGATAGTATATGCGTAACACATAAGCTAAAGGTTAAGATAATATAGTGACTTCAAAAGTGTTCAGAGTATTAGTATAAATAAATGAAGAACACGGTTTTATAACAACATTACAAAACCAATCCACAGGGAAAAAAAGACTAGAAAGAAGTATGTCATGCTGTTGTGGCCATGGGTGATTTCCTTCTCTCTCTCCCTTTTATATTATATATTTTATATATATATATATATATATTTTTTATTTTAGCATGCATGTATTTTTTAATAATTAAATTGTTGTATAACATAACTCATATATTTGAGGTTCAATTTCATTTTCAGCACATTTAAATGAGCCCTGATCCTTACATTTTGTAATCACTGAAGTGCTATGTTCTTTGTTTTAGGATGACAGAATCTTTCCAGAAAGTTCCCTTGCTCATGGGTTAGAGAACTCATTCTCTTGGCATGATCGCAGTCGCTTCCTGTCTAGTCCACGATTGTCACACTTGAATCGTAAGTAATGAAGTCCTGTACCAGTTTTTAAATTGGATTTAAGGGGCTGCCTGGGTGGCTCAGTGGGTTAGGCCTCTGCCTTCAGCTCAGGTCATGATCTCAGGGTCCTGGGATCGAGTCCCACATCAGGCTCTCTGCTAGGCAGGGAGCCTGCTTCCTCCTCTCTCTCTCTCTCTCTCTCTCTCTCCACTTGTGATCTCTCTCTGTCAAATAAATAAAATATTTAAAAAAAATAAAATAAAATAAATTGGATTTAAGGAACTGCAACTCATAGATGGATTAAAATGTAAAGTACCTGATAGTAATAGTTGTGTTAGGATTTTGAAGAAATTGTTATTATGAATCATACAAATAACGCCTCCCAGATTCATTTATGTTACCCAATTTACTAAAAAGTGTATGGGATCCCGTCTTTGTAGACCTTACACTTCTCAGAAAAACAAAATGAATCACTCAAGGTAATAATCTTAATTAAGCAAATTTTTTGTATGGAGGTTGCTGGTAATTGTGGATGAGTGGGTAAAGGCAGTTAGATGATATTATAAAATTTAAGTCATCAAAAAGTAGAAAATCTTTTCACAGAACTGTGATATATATATTTCTATATATCATCTTGTGCGAAGAATAAGGTCACCAATACTGTTAGTGGCTATATTTCATTCTGTGAATATACTTCAAATGTTGATAAAATGTTACCAGTGTGAACAAGGTGTGAGTTTGTTGACCTAGGCTACCCTTCCCCACCATTTACCTCTTTTCTTCCTTACTATATTTCAAGTCTCAGTTTGTATGTAAAATCCTTAAAGAAGTCTTTGAAACCTATGGTTTTAAATATGGTGTCTGTTATGAGTGCCCATAACACATTACAATTTTCCTTTTAAACGCTTCTTAGAATAATTATGGAGTTATTTTTTGAGTGACTTTTTGTTTAGTGATTATATTCTTCACTAAAGAGTGAACTTTGTGATGAAAGGAGCAATGTCTGTTTTGTTCATGATTGTTTCCTCAGCATCCCACATAGTACTTGGAATGTAGTAAATGCTCAATTAATATTAGATGAATGAGAATATGAGTTTTTTTAAGTCCACTTTTATCCAAATCATTGGATCTTAAATGTTATTTAATGGATTCTTATTTAAGTAATCATTTAACTCCTCAATTTACCATGGACATAGAGTTTATATATTAAATCTGACAATTCTGTCATTTAAAAAATGTAGGTTGCTATAAAATAAAATATCAAAATAAGCCACAAAGAAGTAGGTCAGATCCAAAAGTGATAACTCTCATTTTTGCTGATTTATATTCATGGATTCATTGAATAAATATTTATCAGTTTCTAATAAAATGGTTCGGTTTTCATTATATCATGATTATTTTACTCCAAAAGCTGAGCATTTTCTCTTTCCTGTCGTAACCATTTTACTAAGTGATTTTATATGTCTGCATACAACCCTGCTATTCTAATCTGGCAGTTGCCCTTCAATGTAAATTGTATCTCAAATGGATTATGGTACCTCAGAATCTGATATACACATACACAAATGTTTTGTGTTTCATATGAAGAAATGGAAAATTTTCCTCAGGTCTGTTGGATGCATGTGAACATGTAGGCAGAGGGTAAGCACAAAACACCATCAAACATCATAGTATCCTACCCATTAAGACATTCAGGAGCCTGAGATATAAATAGCACCATGATATGGACATAGATGTCATTGTTCTCCTGCTATTTCATTTTGCTATTATGACTTTCATAAGGTTCCCTAGAAAGGCACCTAGGAAGTAGTGGTTAGGAGACATTAGAGGGAAAACACCAAGGTTTTTAGAATTTATTATTATTATTATCACTATTAAGACAGGCAGTGAAAGAAAGGACATCCAGCTTTACACTCGGTAGCATCTCATGACCACCTGTGGTCATCTCTCTAAGATGTGTTCCTCACAGGAAGCCATAGGTTTCTATATAAATACTGGCTCAAAAGGAAACAAAGTTAAGTAAGAATAGGAAAAAATATTGAGAACATAACTTGGATATGAAAGTACCTATTATAGTCTACATTGTAAAATCTGACTGAAAAATTCAGCTTAAAAACTAAACCTCCTCATTAACTTCTTGTTAAATTATTAATTAATTTATTAATTCATAGCTTTACATTTTACTGTTCCTCTTTTGACAAGTCTGTTTAATGATTTTCCTCCATATCTACCTCCATGCTTTCAAGGATACTTTTAAAAATTTAATCATTGGTACCTTATTGTTAGTCATTTTAAATAATTGAATTAAACTTATTTTTAGAGATCAGAGTTATTCTTATTTACTTTTCTGATAAACCTTGAATTTCTTTTTAAGATTTTATTTATTTGACAGAGAGATACACAGAGAGAGAGGGAACACAAGCAGAGGGAGAGGGAGAAGCAGGCTTCCCACTGAGCAGGGAGCCCGATGCGGGGCTGGATCCCAGGACCCTGGGATCATGACCTGAGCCGAAGGCAGACGCTTAATGACTGAGCCACCCAGGTGCCCAATCCTTGAATTTTCTATGTTTTTTTCATAATGTAGTATTTTAAAAGTGGATCAGGATCACCCAGAATACTGCTCCATTTTTGTAGCATAAAAAATTTCAGCTTAGTTACAGAAATTATCCTGTAATTTTTCTCTAACCTCCTTTTAAATCTAAAATTAAGGAGAAATGTCAAAGCCAACAAAGAGAAAAACCAAGCTACAGTAAATGGATCACACAGGGGACAGAATATGTCTTTTTAAATATCATTAATGTCCTCAGATGTAGAAAACATTATACCCATTAAAAATAAGAACAAGATGCTATGAAAAAGGACCATAGTATAAGAGGTCTCAGAAATTTAAAATATGAAAAACTAGAAAGGTGGGAGGCAAAGTTGCAAAAACCATAAAGAAACTAGAAGAAAAAGAATGGGATAATAGGAAAGAAAAGATATTTAGAAAATCCCTTCAAGAGGAACAGTACCTGATTAGTGAGTCTTGAGAGGAGAGAACAAAAGCCAGGAGTGGGCAGGTTAGAAGGGCCCACCCAACCCATACCTGTCGCATGGCTGATGTCCTGAGATTTTCCTTCACCCCCATCCTGTGTTGGTGCCCAAGTTTCTCAGAACGCATGCCATCCTTTGTTTGTGCCTTCCTTTGTTGTCTCAGTTCTTTCTTTTGTGGGAGCACATCAAAGAAAAGCAGGTAAATGCTTTCAGTCATTGTATTTCTGAAAATAGATTTCTTCCACCACTCACACTTGACGAGACTTTGGCTGGCTATAAAAATCTAGGTTGAAAGTGACTTTGCTTCTGCAGTCATTGCATTGTTCTCGTCCAAAATCTAATGTTGCTATTGAAAAACCTTATATCTTTTTGTGTTGACCTCCACTCCTTTGAAGTGAACTTCTCCATCACCTAATGCCCCAACCCCCAGTGCTGGGACCTTTTAGGATCGTCTCTTGAACTCCAGCGAATTTTGTGATGATTTACCTCCCTGCAGGCCTTACTTTATTTGCTTTTCTAGCCATTTGGTGGGCGGGCACTTTTAATCTGGAGACTCGTGTTTAGTTCTCTCAACTTGATAGAAGAAAGTAAAGATTCCATTAGGAAAATTTTTAGAAAATAACGATGTTAGGTTATTTGATTCAGGTGAGCACTTAGAATCTGGCAGATCTCATTGAGCTATTAAAATAATTAAGGATAGTCACAGAGTAAGAGCAAATAAAAAAACAAAAATAAAAACATGGGTCAGTTAATAACTCTACGGGAAAAATGGGTAAGAAAAGAAACGTTGTCATAGTATACTTACTAGGTTTGTGTGAGCTATATTTACATAATATTATAAATACTCACTACCGACACAACTAGTTCAAATGTAACTGTATAAGGAGTATGGGGTGAGGGGAAGTGGATGGGTGTGAATACATTTATAAATGATAAGTCAGAAAATAGCCATATAAGCTTCTTTTTCTTACAAAATTGAAATAAATGCAGAAAAGAAAGCTAAAAGGGTTGATTGTGGTTGACCCTGGGGTGCAGGATTGGGGGACTGGGTGGGATAAGGTAAGAGGCTGCTGCCTTTCTATGTAGCCCTTTGTTGCTATTTGATAGGTTGTATGTACACTTTGGCTGGAAAAGCATTTTGTAAAAATAAAATGCTATTAAGAACACCCCTGCTTTTATGTCTGACTAGCAAGTGTTCGATTTTCTCATTGCCTTGTGAATGGAACATGAAAGCTGGGGGTTGGAGTTTAGAGCAGTTTAGACCTGTACAGAGGTGTGAGGAGTGCATAACCATAGGTGCTGAGGCAGACACAAGTTTATGAGCCCACAGAACAGGCTCCTTCTCACTCAAATTGGGATTTGTACAGGACGAGGCCCTTCTGTCTGTGCTGTAGATGCTAAGGCTTTCATTCTGCTGACGTAGGCACCCTGTCAAACTGTGACCAAATGAAAGCGTAGAATCACTGACCATGGAAAAAACAAAGGAAATGGGAAAATACTGCATAATTTGTGGTCTCTGAAATGATCCAGCATTAATGAAAGTTTGTTTTAAGTAGTAATTTATGTCAGCTTTGTGTAGTTCAGGTCAATTCAAGAAAAGGTAGATTCCTTCTGCCAGGAAGAAGGGAAGAAATGTATAACTTGTAAGTTTATATTACCATTGGAAATAGGAACACAGAAATCCATTATTTAGAGCCATGATTACTACCAAATTTATCCTGGCTGGCTAGAAGTGATGGCCGTGATTCAGGATACTCTTTTAGAAGGCTTGGATTCCATTACCTTCAGCCTCTAGACAGTGGGGGCTTAGAAAGAGAGACTTATAATGCCAGCTTTTGAAACTGTCATTTTTACTTTTTATAAGTAGTGACTGACCACTAGTCTCCATGTATAGCTTCTTTTAGGCTAAAGGAACATGACTCCTAGGACAGGGCCCTCACTCTTGGGGCCAGGAGCAGACTGGATTTGAGAGAGGGCTGTAGTAATCTGATGACTTCTCCAAATCTTGAGTCCTTTAAGATTAAAATGCCTAATGTCTATGGAGTTGGTATCTCTAAGCTAAATTTTTAAAATAAATGGAGATTTCAAACTTTCTGTGGTTCTAAAACTATTGTCAGTAATGCTTATTAAAATAAACAAACCCCAAAATAAAGGACTATGATTTTTTCAAGGGGGGGATGTTATCTTCAGATTATTATAGGATTTGAATGTGAATCTTACATATTAATTTAACTTGATATTCTTTAAAAAGCAAGTCAATGAAAGTTACTAAAAGGAACTTTCTAACCTCCGTTTACTTGCTATGAAAAGAAAAGTTATTGTTCTCAGTTTGTATTTTGAGGTGCCTTTAAGTGGGGTATTTAAGGTGCGCCTGGGTGGCTCAGTGGGTTAAAGCCTCTGCCTCTGACTCAGGTCCTGATCTCAGGGTGCTGGGATCGAGCCCCACATCGGGCTCTCTGCTCAGCAGGGATCCTGATTCCTCCTCTCTTTCTGTCTGCCTCTCTGCCTACTTGTGATCTCTGTCTGTCAAATAAATAAATAAAATTTTTTTAAAAAGTGGAATGTTTAAGTCCCTCTGATGAAAAATAATTTCTCTGCAGCAAGAACAGTATATACTCTTTTCTATGCCATACCTCGGGATCCACTGGCTAACTGAACTGCTTCATAGGTAGTCTGTCCTCAGACTTGCAGAATAAAATTCCAAAGATTATGGCAATCAAAATGTAGGGGTACTGATAAAGGTAAAAAAAAAAAAAAATGTTTCTTGTCCATTAAGGATTTATTTATTTCATGGAAACACAACATTTGTCTCTCCATTTTATAGGTTCAGTTCTCGTGATAGTGACTTTTGTGTATGTGACAATCTTTTCACTGACCAGTTAGGTGTCAGATATTTTTAAATAACTGAGTTCTGATTATTTCGATTCACAAGGTACTCTGCAGATACTGTCTAGAAAGCAGCTAGAAAATCCCCAATTCACTATCTCTTAAAAATCCCATAAGTATATTCACTTCTTCAAACAGTATTTACTAAAAGGTTATGCAGGAGGCTCTCTGGCCTCAGGGAAGATACAGTAAGAGAACAAGACAGAAAGCGACACCTCATCCCACAGAAGAAAGAGGCAGTAAACAGTGATAGATCATTTTAAATGGTGTTTGGTGCTTGAAGATAAAATGGTAGAAAGTACCTGGAACAGACTACTTTAGATTAGTGATCAGGAGATTCCTTTCTGAGGAGGTTACAACGAACTGAAGCCTGAATGGCAAGAATCAGCTGAGTTAAAATTGGGTGGGAAGAGTTTTCCTGATAGAGGGAACAGTAAGTATAAAGGCTACAGAAAATAATTGGATATGGTCTTCCAGAGAGATGGAGCTCTGACTGAGCGGGAAAGGAGAGATGCAGAGAGAGAGAGAGAGAGAGAGAGAGAGAGAGAAAGAGAGAGGAAGAGGAGGGGTGAAGTTCCATGGGAGCCTTTTCAACCACAGACAGATGTTTGGATTTTATTCGGAGTTTCCTGGGAGGCCACTGGAGGAAAGTGACATAATTAGATGTACCTTTTGGAAAGATAACCCTGTTGTGGTTTAGAGAAGGGGACTAGTGAAAATAGGAAGAAAATGGTGGCTTGGGCTGAGGCAATAGAAATGGAGAAGGTATGGAGCCTGAGGCCTGGGGTGAATTTGGGAGGTAAAATCTTCAGAATTTACTCTTAAGTAGGATGAGTGGAGCAGACAGGACAAAAGAAGGAGGGAACAAAAGTTTGAGAAACCCAGGCTGGGATGATGAGTGTGTCACTTTCTAAGATGGAGAAAGTCAGGGGTGGGCAAGCATCAGAGATTGGTATCAGACAGGCGGACTTCCTGTAGATAGTTTGACTTCCCCATCTGGAGCTCAGAAGAGAGGTAAGTGGTTGTAGAAAGATAGTAAGCCTAGATTCCAGATCTAGTCTCAGTTTGTGGCACATGGAAGATTCCATGAAAAGAAGGCAATGAAGGTTTCTCCCTCCAAATTGTGTGTGTGATTTATATCACTGTATATTGACCAAATGCATATCTCTTGTTCTGAGATACTCTTCAAATCCCACCAAAATTAAATCCTATGAATAGATGTTTTCCAAAATACAGTAACTGTACTACATTTATTCCTACATGGGAGGTCTGTTAAGGTCTATACCATGTAAAGTTTACAGGAAACTAGGTCAGACACAGTGATTACTTACAATTTTGTCATCCCAGGAGTTCTCTTCATCTGGGTTTATTTTTGTCTTTTCTCTCACCTTGCCAGCATTTACCAAAAGAACAGTTACTCCAGATTCACCTTCAATCAAGGAAGATGCCACAAGTTTACCAATGGATGGAACAAGTCCACAGTCTAAGAAGGAGGACTATGAAAGCAGAAAAAGCAAAATGTAATTCGTTGCTTTACATGAGTATTTTACCAATGACAGCATATCTGTCCCTGTCGCAGTTTGGCCCAGATTGTCTAGCAGACGTATCCGCAGCTTCTGCTCTTCAGCATTGCCAAGCACTGACTGAAACAACAATATATTTGGTCTTTGGGAAGGATAGAAGTTAAATCAATCCAAGTCATATCAGCTCATGAATGACATACGGCTAACTTACTGGCAACCTGATACCAGCAGAGAAAGGGAGATACTTTTCACTTTACATTTTCATTCTTCAGGTGTGGTCAGTCACATTTTTCCAAACAAAATTTGGATTTATAATTGGGATTTTTTTTTTTTTTTAAACAAATGACTGGCTAAAAAGCAGGGAAACAAGTTCCTCTTGAGGCAAAAGTTGCCAGCACTTTAGATTCAGGGAGTGTTTATTTACAATTGATTTTTTTAAAAAATGCTTTCTCCCTAATAAATTTTCCCATGTTATGACATGTCATGGAGATATGCATATATAATATTAGACAGTCCGTTTTATAAACGCTCAGGATTGTTACATTCATCATCTCAGCAGTCTGTTACTACATGCAGTACCTTAAAATTTTATTTCCAATCATCCATTTTTAATAGCAATAAAGAATTTACAAGTGATACCTGAATTGTAGAACACTGTAAAGAATTCATAGCACAATTTATTTATTTATCTTTTTGTGGCCAAATATCTCACTGCGATAACTTCAGTCATATTCTGGACCATCTTTCAGTTTACTCTGACCAAATGCACAGTTGCCAGACTCCTGTGTCATGAGATTTGCTCTGCGAGAGTTCTCGTATAATCTGGCGCTATATACTTTCAGCATCTCAACCTTTCTCAACATCAAAGTGTTTTTAAGAACTTCTGCTCTCTACATGCTAATCTACCAGTGGAGAAAGTTTTCTATTAAATGCTAACCAAGAGTAAAACATCCACGAACTGAATCCCACTGGGCCATGATGGAATGTTCTTCAGAGGGACAAGGGCAATAAAGCAATACCTTCCTAATAACCTTTTGTGTTTGTTAAAGTATACTTGCTTGTTAAGTTTCTCACATGTTGTAAAGATGCTTCTATTTCCACGACCATATGTTTTACAAACTTACTATAGTTAAATGTCCAGAAGAAACGGTACTCTTCGTCTCTGAACATGAGTGCCAGTGGTTACTGCAGGAGACAGAGATCTTTGATCTGAAAAAAATTACATAATGCAATCTACATGACCTCTGGGAGGACAGCCATGCATTTTATTATTTATCCATTACGGAAATCTGTTGAGCTCCTAGTAGGGGCCAGTCATTGTGCTAGGAAGGAAAACGGAAACACAAAACCAGCTGTGCATGATGTACAGTTTGTTTGGCATTAGGGATTCCATGAAAAAAGGAGTGATGTGTTCAGATTAGCTGGAGAAATTCTGCATTAGACAAAATTGAACAGGTTTGGTTTTGTTTTCTCTAACCACAGGACTTCCAGCTGTTAATGGGCTGATGAGCACAGTAAGGTTCGGTGGGAGTAGCCCTTTTGGAAGGAGCGGCTCTCAGTCCTCTCAGTGCTTCTCAGAACCTATATCACACCAGAGTAATATTGGGGGTAGAGAGAAATTATGTCAGTATTTTCATTGATGTTTTGACCAACACTATAATATTTTCTCTCCTTGGATCGAAATGACTTACTAGGGAGAAAATAAGGGAGAATATGAACACGTTTTATTTAAATCCTATGGATTTAATTTAAAAATCCTGTGGATTTGAGTTAAATAGCTTTTCCCTTAATATGTCAGCAGGAACTCCAGGCAGTCCATTCTTTTTAGTAGGAACTGGTTTAAACCACTATTCACACATCTGTGGCCATTAAAAAAAGGAAAAAAATTACATCAGGCCAGTTAGACCTGAAAGTTGAAGGTAACATGGATTATTTACCTGGCAAATCCTTGAAAACATATTAGCTGATGATTTTATAACAGAATGGAGAATGATCTTATGAAAGACCTTTTTTAATCTGAAAAAAAATAAAGCCATTATATCATATTATTGAACACCCTGTGCTACTGTTGGATGAATGAAGGTGTCTGACGGTAAATATGGAACACACAAGAACTTCAAAGGCAAAGTCAACTTTTTGTGAGCAACAATTTTGTCAAAATTCCTTGGCCCTCTGTTTATATGGAATTCAATCCAAGGACCTGTCTTTTCTGAGGATTTTTCCTATCTCTTGCAGTCACCATAAACTCGAGTTAGAAATCAAAAGGAATGCTAAGGAAACACTAATAGCTTGATTTGTACATTTCAAAGCCAACAACTATTTTTCCTTCATTCACCCCTTTGGCAGGATAACTCCTGATATCAGCCCCATTTGAGTTGTGGCTGATGAGCCATATTGCTTATAATACTGGGACATTGGAAGGGATTAACCTTATTCTTGCACTGAGCCTGGTCCAAGACTTAATTTGAAGATTGACCTTTTTGGTTTAATAATTTTGATTCTTCTGGCCATCTTTCTCCCTAAACACACTGAACTTCCACTGAAGTTACTGAAGGCCACAGAGGGGAGAAACACAGCTGGGAGAAATCTGGCTGGATGTTTTTCCCATTGGCTAACGTTGTTATTACTTCCTTTACTAGTGTCTGATTTAAAGGTTGGAAACCAGTTGGTTATATAACGTCTTATGCATACAGTTTCCCAGAATCACAAGCTTTTCTTATAGTTTACATATTTGTACTAATAAAAGAGATAAGATCTATAGCTTAACAAAACAATACACATAAAGCATTTGGATTAAAAGGTTATGTGGGTTAAAAGTGCCTACCTACTTAGCTAAGAAAACAAGCCAATTTTTTTTTTTTTTTTTTTCATTTTTATCCCTTCAAGTGAGGTAAATGCATTTTCCATTTTGAGCCTCTGGTCAATGGTATGTAAGTTGTATTTAGAGTCACAGTAATTGTTATATTTTCTTTAATCTATATTTAATCTTATAGTTAAATAGCAAATATATTTTTTTAATGGGACCAAATTCTTACATATAATTAGATGGTATATTTACTTAGCAAACATTTTTTTAGCAAGGAGGTAGGAATCTCAAATTGTTCTTCTCAGGATTTGTACTATAAACCCAACTCTACATCATATAATAGCTAAGAATAGGAATGATCATTGAGCAAATTATTCCTTTTCTAAGATTCTTACATCCTCTCCTCAAACTATCCCAGTATTTACTCTCAATTTAATTTTAAGAAGAAAGAAAGAAAATTTTGTGATTTTCATGGCCTTCAAATGAGGAAGCTGCCCTCACAAAGGCATCTGGTTTTCTTGGATCAAAACTAAACCATGAACCGTAAGCTGGAAAGTAAATTTGGGAAAGTTTGTATATTAGAGGCATTTCATGTACCAAAGTATGATATAAAAATAGTTACATCTTTCAACTTTTTAAGTTCTCAAATGTTTAGCAATAAAACATCAGCTTATCCCTATTTGAGAAAAGAAATTTAAACCATGAAAGATTCCATTTAGTTCCATTTCCGTACAAAACACGACACATCTAATTTAAGGCTAGGAGAAATGCTTACATCTAGAAACAGGACTTTAGAGTCCAAGCCCCCAAACAGATTTCAGAGAAGTCTCCTTGCTTTTGATTAGTAACAAAGTAAACCAATTTTTCTGCTCTGGTGAGACCAGGCAGACCTTCAACTTCTAACCTCATCTGCCCCCAGCTTAGCCTCTCCTGCTTTATCCACATCTAGGCCCACATCCTCCCTAAATCCAAACCCCACGCAGGTCACGAAAAGAGTTCCACCAGATCAGCCCCCACCGTTGACCTCTGAAGTATCGTAACTGCGACCTACAATGAGGGGACAGCCTGTCAGAGGTTTGTAGCACCTGCATGTCTTTCAGGACCAGCCAATTGCAAAAGGATCTAAATGACGTGTCTTCGAGTGCCCCTGGCTGCAAGCGGAGGAGTATTTCTGTGGCTGGGTATCTCTGTAACACAGCTTGACTCTGACATGGTACAAAGCCATGTGACAGTTGTGGATGAGAACTTGTTGCCTCGCTCTCTGCAGGAAAATACTAGATTTCTAAACATAGCACCATGTTAGTTTCCTTTCAAGAGGATAGTCAAAACAATATATAATCCAATGACCTCTACCTTTCAAAAGGTAGAGTCTTGTACCAGGGAGCACAGAGGTGGGAACATGAAAAAACAAAAAGGCTACCATACTCAAAAAAGTGCCATACCACACTCCTTGCCTGTAATTCTAACAATAACTTGCTATGTTTTAAGGCACTGAAGTCACACAGTTCCAGAATGAATGCCGTGTCTTTCTCAGACTGGCAGATGCTGGACATTCATGCCCACACTGTCTTCTGTCATCACTCCATAGATCACCACGACTTGACTTCCTCTCATACGTTATCCTTTAGTAAAGCATTTTGACTGGCATTATTTAATTTTTTTAAAAAGGTACAATTTACCCTTAAGTATTAGAGCTCTGTGTCATTTTAGCTGATACTTGATGGGAAATAAAAGATCAGAATACTGGCTTGAAGCAATATTTTTTTAAACAAAATTAATGGATATTAAACTACCAACAGTTTACATGTTATAATTTAAAAGTAAGAAAAGGTCTTATTTTGAGGGAAAGGAGGATTATATTATATGCTCATTAGTTAGTCACTAATTGACGGTTCCCTTTTATTCTGATTTAATATTTTCTTAAAAGTTTTTTTTTAAGGGACAAGTCTAAATGTTGTAGTATCAGGTTTTCTATCAAATTACAGTTTCCTTTTGTTTTTGTTTTTCTTACAAATTTTTCATTTAGAGTCAGGTGTATTTTTGAAGCCACCAGGAGGTTCAAATGGCTTTTAAAACACTTGGCCAACAAGGTGAAGATATGTACTTCGAGATAGTGCATCCCCTTTGTTCTTGAAATACTCTATTTCAATTGGAAATATTTCCTCCAAATGTCTGTCTGTCTATCTCTCTCATTTCTTTCTCTAGGTTTCATAGTCATTTCCTCAAGGATCTTTGGAAGCAGATTTATGCCCTTTACTTGGGCCAGCCCGGGGACCAGAGTCATGCCGGCTTGCACTGTGCCGGCATTTCAAGACATCAGAATAAATGGCAACCATAAAGAGCTAGTGAGGGGGCCCTGGGTGGCTCAGTGGGTTAAAGCCTCTGCCTTCAGCTCAGGTCATGATCCCAGGGTCCTGGGATCGAGCCCTGCATCGGGCTCTCTGCTCAGTGGGGAGCCTGCTTCCCTCCTCCCTCTCTGCCTGCCTCTCTGCCTACTTGTGATCTCTGTCTGTCAATAAATAAAATCTTTTAAAAAAATAAAAATAAAGAGCTAGTAAGATTAGTAATTAACTGATATATATTTTTTCTAGTGACATAGGCTGGTCTGTTCACCAGGGGTGAAATGCTCCTTTTGGTAAAACAAGATTGTTTCTCTTCACCCTTGTGGGATGGTGCATAGCTCTTTTTTAGAGCATATTTACACGTACTTCATCTATCAGGAGAACCTATTTATGTCCTCTTTTTTTTTTTTTTAAGATTTTATTTATTTATTTATCAGAGAGAGAGGGAGAGAGAGCAAGCACAGGCAGACAGAATGGCAGGCAGAGGCAGAGGGAGAAGCAGGCTCCCCGCTGAGCAAGGAGCCCGATGCGGGACTCGATCCCAGGACACCGGGATCATGACCTGAGCCGAAGGCAGCCACCCAACCAACTGAGCCACCCAGGCGTCCCTATGTCCTCTTTTTTACCTGAAAGCCGAAAGAGCAATTCCCAAAATGTGTGTCACGTTGCACATAGGATTTAAACTCTAAGTTTCGAATATATCCCCTGTACAAGGTGGTTGGCTTTTTTCTTTTTCCCCAGCTCTTCAAGCCAGCTATTATCAGATCATACTGCATAACTCGTATTCAGTGTTATCCCTAGGGTAGTGGTAATGCTAGTTTAGATTTTGTTTGTCCATTATTGCTGAGCACTTAGCTGGAGAAGGGAATGAAGGATGGC